CTCAGTGGCAGAGCCCCTGCCTAGAATCCCCCAGTGAGGGGCTGGGGCTGTGGCTCATTGGCAGAGGCCCTGCCTAGAATCCCCCAGTGAGGGGCTGGGGGCGTGGCTCAGTGGTAGAGCCCCTGGCTAGAATCCCCCAGTGAGGGGCTGGGGGCGTGGCTCAGTGGTAGAGCCCCTGCCTAGAATCCCCCAGTGAGGGGTAAGGGGTGGAGCACAGCTCAGCACGCATAAGGCCCTGGGTTCAATCCTAAGCACTGAGTAAAAAACCAAAAACCATCTGTGGGGCTGGAGAGATGGCTCAGCGGTTAAGTGCACTGGCCATTCTTCTAAGGGACCAGAGTTCAATTCCCATCACACACATGGTACCTCACAATTGTCTGTAACTTTCAGTTTCAGGGGATCTGGCATCCTCAAACAGACATACACGGAGGCAGAACACCAAATGCACATAAAAATTTTTTAAAAAAATCTTTAATAGCAACATTCCACGAGTTGAAGTGGAAGGTTTGCAGATTTTGAAGCAACCTCAACCACATAGTGAGACTATTCAAAACAAATGAGACCCAGTGTCACTGACAAAAACAAGGGTCTAAGCAGGCGCTGGGGAAGTGGGATTCGATGGGATATTGGAGGCGTGAGCAGTTAATGGGAGGGACTGGGAAGTACTAATAAGAGGCTCAAATGCATACTGAAGATGAAGAGGTCCAGCCAAGGTCTGGAGAGGTGGATAGATATGACAGCGTGTGTGTGTGTGTGTGTGTGTGTGTGTGTGTGTGTGTGTGTGTGTGTAGGGTTGTTGATAACACAGGTGACTTTACTGTCACCTCCGTTGAGACTTCGCCTTCCTCTCTAGTGACACAACCCAAACGCACCTTCACAACAGTCCGGACCCCAAAGGACATTGCGTCAGAGAACTCTATCTCCAGGTATGTGGCTAACCTTTTAGCAGAAGGTTAGAGATATCTGCAAGGCCACTGGCTGTGGTGTTCAAGGCCACTGGCTGTGGTGAGCA